CTTGGACCCTTTCCACTTAGGGAAAACCAGATACAATTTCATTCATTTTCCCCTTTTATTCCTAGTCCTGGGTCTTGTGTCCACTTGGCACTGGGTTTTGGGATCAGTGCTCTGGAGCCCCTGGGTAGGCTCTGAGCCAGCATCTCCTGGAATAATGGTGTAAATGAACCCTCCCCAGGTGTGGGAGCCCTCCCTGCCCATCCCTGTCCTTGTGGGTGAGCCCTGAGGGATTCTCTGTGATCAGAGGAGGCTGGGGGATTCTGTTGCTATGACAACAGGTTTGTTTGGTTTTCTTACTAGAACTGGATTTTTTTTTTTTTAAATTTTATTTTTTCAGTTTAGAAAAACTGAAACAATTAGGGTAGAGACAGAAGATAAACTTTCCTGTTTTCCCAAGAGGAGGCCTAGGCAGGATGCACAGGCGGGTAGCAGGGTGGCAGGTGTGGGCAGGAGGCAGGCAGCTGGTATCCCCAACCCCAAGGATTTACACATCTTTCCTTAGCACAACTGTGTGCCTCATAAAACAAACCCAGGCATAAAAGCTAGCCCAAATAATTCACCTTGCTTTCTCACACTTCCTTTTCAAGCCTGACTACAAGGGGACACAGATCTGAACTCTTACAGAGAGCTGAGGTTTACTGCTAGCAGGGCTGGTTTGCTTTTCAGCTGATGGAATTGTATAGATTCTATGATTTTTAATTATTTTTTTCTAACCAGAATGTCAAAAAGCTGAGTCAGCCATCCCACAGCTATTAAGATCCTAAAACTTCTTTCTCCTTACGGATTGCTTACCCCTACTCTATGCAGTCAGATGAAGATGAGTTGTTTGTTCTGGCAGAGGGACAGACAGTCTGTTTTCCCCTACATGTATACAACTAATTTCAAGTCACTGGTGTTCCAACTGGTGATAAAAGAGCTATCTTAAGCTTTTCACAGAACACAGTGACACTGTTAAATCAGCACAGCATTTTGATTAGCAGAAAGATGAGAGCTGTACAGCTTAATGAGAAAAAGGGGCAAAATACCTTTTGTACTTGGAGGTTTAAACCTGTAGTTTTAAAGGAAATAGGTGCCTGTATTTTTCTGTAAGTTGCACATTTTCACCTTACTGCTGATGCGAGGCTATTCAGTGTCAGCAATAGCCTGCACTGTTTGAATAAGGAAGAAAAATTGCTCTCATGGCTTATTGCTCATCTGGTTAGACCTTTCCTTGAGGATGTGTAGCAGGCAGCTCTGAGAGCACAGCCCATGGGCTTGGGGACTTGAAGGACACACAGGCTCTGCTAACTCCTCCTCCACGAGCTTTGAGGTTCACCTTTTGGTGCATGTTCCTTTTCTAGGACTCTCATCCTTGAAAGTAGGGTTGGGTGGTGTCTGTTCTGTCCTTAGAGACAGCACAGACCTCTGAGGTTCTGCTGTGGCGCATCCCCTGGCACAGACATGTCCTTCATCTCATCTTTCCCTGGGGCAGCTGTCACAGAATCATTCAGGTTGGAAAGGACCTCTGAGATCATTGAGACCAGCCTTTGATCACCACCTTGTCATGCAGACCATGGCACTGAGTGCCACATCCAGCCATTCCTTGGACACCTCCAGGAATGGTGCCCTGACATTGCCAGGAAGGTCAGGTTCTCCTTGGCCTTCTCCAAGAGCATTTTCTTGGTTTTAAGACAGAAGTAAGCCCAGGATCCTTTCCTGAACCTTCCATTCTGATTACTGAGGGATTTTTGGTCAGCTGTGAGAATGTGTCCTTTGGCAGGGCACTTCCAGTGGCTGCTGTTGGAGGCTGATCCTATGGCTAAATGCCTTCTAATGCTTAAAATTTCCTGGTAATTCCAGACCAAATTTATACACAATACATTTATGCCCACTTGTTCAAGGACCAAGATGGTCTTTCCACTGGAATGGGTTTTCTCCCTGCTGAGGTTTAAATCTTCACTGTGTTTGTCCAGAGCAGTCTTCCAACATGAGAGATACAAAAAGAGGGGAAAAATATTTAAGTGGCACTTTAGGGAAAGTGGTTGCAGTGCTTTGGAATTGTTTGCAGATGCTGTGACCCCACAGTGGTGTTTCTGGGACTGCCTTGCAGTGCCAAATGGCCTTAGGCTGCACTCTGCCTGGGGCATCCCATCCCTGTGCTATCCCAGAGGCATCCCTGAGCAGCTGACAAAATTCAGAATTCATGCAGATATCAGTCTTTAATTAATTCAGACCTCCTTGCATTTAGGCTCCTTCCTGTGCTTATTCTCCTGGTCCTGGGCTGTGTGAGTGAAAACTGCACTCAGAGGACTTTGAGAGAGGCTTAAATTACAGCTGACCTCTCTAAACTCTGACTTTCTCTGAACCAAAGAATTCGGTCTGGCATGTCTTCAGAGACAAAATCTCAGGGGATCTCAGCTTAATGGGTAGTCTGAGTCAAATGTGATTATCTGTGGTGTTTGTGCCAAGCTGAGCTGCTCCCAACCAGCCACTGCTGCTCTCTCCCCCTTCCACTGCTCTGGGGGTGCCTCTGTGCAGGTACTTAGAATCCATGTGAGGCGTGGGAAGGCAAGGGATGCCCAAGAGCAGGAAAAGGAATAGAATGACCAGTTTCTCATTAAAAAAAAAGGCAGGCAGAAATAAAGTTTCAAGCCACATCAAGGGAAATACAGGTTGGATATCAGGAAAAAGTTTTTTATGGAAAGAGTGATAAAGTTCTGGAATGGCTGCCCGGGGAGGTGGTGCAGTCACCATCCCTGGGTGTGTTTAACAAAGCCTGGATGTGACAGTGGGTGCCAGGGTTTAGCTGAGGTGTTGGGGCAGGGTTGGATCATCTTGAAGATCTCTTCCAACCTGGTGATTCTGTGAATTCTGTGAATAATGGCTTATGTTAACAATGCCCAGGTTTGTATTTCCAGAAGTGTGACTGAGTGTCCCCATGGCATGGACTGTCTGTGATGAGCAGAGCACACTCTGCACCATGAGCAGGGTTTGACTGAGCCCAGTGACTCCAGAGAGATGACAGAAGTGGTGCTAAGCTTAGTTTAACACAATCTGCAGAAGCAGCTCTGCACAGTTGCTATAACACTATGTTAAACTAGGCTAAACTCTGAGTACTGCTACAGTCACTGCTTTTGGAACCACGCTGGAGTCAGTCTGTCAGAATGTTCCTCTCCTTTACAAAATACATAATCTCCTTGAAAATCATCTAGTTTCCTGAAAGCTACTCAATGTGGGGAAAAAAGGCTGACAGTGTTCCCTCCTGCCTGCTGATGTAGTAAATTTACCGATTCCTTATCTGCAGTGACACCAACCACAAATTTATATTCATTTTTGAAATCATATTTATGAACAGCTTCTCTGTTCATATCATCTTCTTAAATATGCCCATGTATTTGTATTACTTCTCAAGAAAGCTCAGTCTTTGAAAGCATATTTTGAAAAAAACCCTCCATTTATTATTGTTACTATTTTTAAACATCTTCAAGCTGACTTTAAAGGGAAAACCTGCCTTTCCTTCCCAGCACCCCAAACAAATCCCCCTTTTCACTTCATCTGTTGGGCTACTGGTGAATTTGGGGGTTTGGAAGCATCCCAGGCAGGATTCCCCACCTGTCACAAAGAAACATATGGTCCTAACAGAGCTCTGAAACACCTGGCTGAGCCTCACCTGTTGATAATTCAGTAGATGACAATTTCTGTCTGAATCAGCACATCAGCAAGATTTCAGGAAGAAGAGATAGTTCCCAGATCTCCTTTCGCATCTCACTGATAACAATCACAACACTTCATTCTCTTTCAACAAACTGTTTCTCTTTCTTAGCTTGGAAACATCTTTGTCTGAATATTGAGCTGTGTTTTGAGATTAAAGAACAAAGGTTGGGTGGGTTTATGGTCAGGGGAAGTATTCCAGATGTATCTGAAACTGCATTTCTTAAGAAATTTAGAAAAAGTGTTTTGGGTTTCTTGCTTGGGGAGGTGATTTCTTCTGTCTGTTCTGTCGAGTGAAAGCCAGGGGAGATTACTTTGACATAATTTCAGTGTGTGTCCTGCTGAAGGAAAAGTGCTTGTCCTGGAGCCTTTGGCTGAAGTCCCACATGGAAAATTGAAGTTCATCTTCCCAAATCCTCTCTGCAAGTCTGCTTGTGTGCCTGGATAAAGTCTTATTCCACTCCCTGTGCTGTTTTAGTGGCTTCAGAGCTGCACCACCAGCATCCATCTCAAAGGATGAGCAAAGTGACCCCTTCAGTCTCTTCCCGAATTCACACTGGCTGCTCTGCCATTAGTTACCTAATGATTTGTGAAATATTTTGTGATATACCTTGTGGTCTTCAGCTGAAAGTCCCTTGTAAGTGTCTAATGTTAGCAGTAATGGTGATACATAGCAAGTCACTGCTGCTTTTCCTCATGCATTTCTCTTTCATTTAAGCATCTTAGGTGGTTAAAAACTTCTGTTGCATGGTGGAACTTGGAGGTTTTTTTGGCAGCAGCAGTGGGAGCACACAAGCAGAGCTTCCTCTTGCAGGCTTTCCTCCTGCCAGCAGTTCCCATTCACACCAGCAATCTCTTCAGCTGCACACAGGCTAAATTTTGCAGCATACCACAGTGTACCCTGAGATCTTGATTATTTTTTTCTCTCTTTTATTTTTTTCCCCCTCTCTCTCCACCCTCCGCTTGGAGCACATCTGAGCATCTGCCCAGGGTTCCAGGGAAACCAGGGAGGTGCTTGTGTGGGTGTAACTTTTATCCAGCATAGCTCTGGGACCTGATCAGGGCTCACACCAGTGCCCAAGAATGAGTGAATGCTCCTACAAGCATTTGCCTAATCACAACTAGGGATGTAATTAGGATTATTCATGTTATGACAACCAGGAGGATTTGATCATGTGCACAAAGCCAGCCCAAAACCCCCACTGATTCTGGAAATGCCTGGACCTAGGATGACAGCCTTACTACTGAGAGCTGGAATGAAAGGGATGGAGAGAATCCATTCAGGAGCCACAAGCAGTGTGATTTGCAACTTCAGAATCTCTCTGTAAGCACCAAGAGCAAGCAGCTTGGTGTAGGTGATTCTGGAGAGAGGCTGGGTTCAGAATAATGCTCCCTTTAAGGATAAGAAACAAATAAGTTTAAATTTTTATTTCTTAAATCATTAAAAGCTCCTGATAGTCACAGTTTAAGACACATACTGTATGTACTTATTCCATACAGCTCCACTCTGTCTCAAATGCAATATGGGCTCTTTCTCTTAACAGCTGTGACAGAGGAACAAGCATTATTCAAATTTTTATTGAGGTTATATTATAAATGCAATTTCATTAGGGTTTTGTGTATTGCTCTAGGGGAAAAAAAAATCCTGTGGTAATATTTTATATTGCTTTTAGCGTGTAGTAATCAAAATTGGTGCAGCACAACTTGATGTGAAGCCCTGCCTCTGCAAACATGAGTGGCAAGTGCCTGACCCATCTACCTGGAGAAAATGTGCATCTGGAATGTATTTAGTGTTAACTTGGAAGACTCTGAAACACTTTCTGCACAAGTGATAGGTTCTACGTGGGTGGACCTTGGCATGTTTCTTAGACCTTAACTTTAATAGATGCAGTTCCAGGTGTAACAAATTACAGGCTTTAAGTCAATATCAGAAAAGATGAAAGGATAAAAATAGAAGCTCAGCAGTTAGATTGGCAGGCAGGGTGGCCTTTTGATGGGAGCAAGGGGAGGGCAGGAGTGACAGCTCCTTCTACATCCAATTAGTTCCACCTGTGAGATCTCCAAGAAGAGACTGGATTCTCAGGTCAGCAGCACTTCTCCTGGTCCTTGGAAGAAAGCTAAACAGATGGTGTTCTAACATGCAAAGTTTAGTATTTATCATTTCATGCACACTTTAAAAAGCACATAATGATAGATTAGGACTTCAGCAAAGAGATTAACACTACATTCTGATACAATGAAAGCCTGCACACCAGCTCTTGTTTCCTCAGTGAAAGTTTTGAATATCGTGGTAATAGAAAAAACTACTGCCTTTATGATTTCAGTATATTAATAATCACAGGCCTAATCCTTTTCCTAACCAAATCATCATTCATCCTCTTGAAATTATGATATAAATATAGATGCAAACACATTCAGTTATGAATTCTCATTTATGAGAACACACAGAACATTTTAGAAGACCAACACTCTTCTCTATGTATTCAACACTTGTGACCTGCATGCCTGTGGCCTTCAGATGGAGCTTTTAAAATAAGTTAAAACCTAAAAGTACCTCCAAAATACCACAGACCTATGAATCAAATTAACTCTGCAGGTTTTCTCCAAGGCGCACAGGAGAAGGCCTGAAGCTCTGACTGTTTATATTTGCATTTGCCAGTCATTGAATAAATAAGAATATTTCTGTTTTGGCACAGTAAACTTTGTCTGAGCAGAGCTGCTCTGTGCCTTGGAGATTCAGTCCTGCTGAAGACCACCCTAATCTGGTGTGGCATCTCAGAGCTGTGCTTTCAACATGTGAAAAAGATGCTCAGAAAACTGTATGGAGAGAAAGCATCACCCTGCAGGAGCTGCCTCGCTGGGGAGAAGGCGTGTGTGTGTGGAACACCAGTGACAAATGATCTCATAACTGCAGGCATTACTGGAGGAAGCACAGAACTTAGTGACTGGGGGCACATCTGAGCACTCCACTAATACACAATGCAAGAAACAGCACAGGATGTTAAAAATGAGTTGCTCTTAATGAGGGAATGAATCACTCTCAGCGCTAATGAAAAGAAAATGCCAACAGCAAATACTGCAGCTCTCAGCCAAATATGGTTTAGATGTGAGGTTTGGGCAATATTGATGGTTACCAAATCAAAATGACCAAAACATCAAATAATATCTGTATTTAATAACTTGGCCAAACCAGTAATACTTATGTAGATGACAACTGGTACTTCTGCAAGCTGTTTCAAAGGAGATTATTGCTGCTATAAACTGTAGTCACCACTTGATAATGATAATATTGATTTTTTTATTATTTTTTTTTAAATTTTACCCCTCCTCTCCAAGTTATGGCTTCTACCACAGATAAGCAATAGCACTATGAGGGGAAAAATTAAAAAATCAATGATTTCTTGGTAGTTAGCAACACATTTTCTGTACGACTTTGAGCAGGATGTGCTGGGATAGGCTTATCATAAATATAGAACTGTGGCAGATTTTCATAGGATTAGATATCAGCTCTCTATTTTTCCATCTTTATATATTATTTTTTACTTGTCTCGAAGAGATCAACTGCTGGTCTCAATCTATAAATTCTATACTCAAAAATAATATAGCATGCCCTAATAGCTTGAGCAAACAGCAGAAGGCTACCTTTGACTCCTGGTGTTAGGATTGATTTTGCTACACTCTCTGAAACCTATAGACTAGAAATAATTTCTGCTGTGTTCCTGCTTTCCCACAAAGTGGCCCTTTGCTGTGCTGAGGCTGCTCCAGACCAGTGGCCTTTGTGCAGAGCAGGGCTCATTTCATGCCAGGTGGGCACCAAAACTGTGAGGAGCTGCCACTTTGCTTTTTAAATCTGATGTGCTTCAGGTGATTTTGGTGAAAAAGCAAAGGAAAAAAAATAATGGAAAGAGGAAGCAAAGGATTGTCCAAACAAAGGTTAAGAGGAAAACCCTAATTGCAGGAAGTTTTCCTTCAAACAGGAGCAGATGGTGGACCCATCTGGCCAGGCAGAAGTATGCCAGGTTGGGCATACTGAGAATGGGCCCATGCTCCAAGATCCACCTCCAGCCATGAGCATCTTGGTACTAGGCTGGTTAATCCAGTAATTAATTAGGAGGGCTGACTTTCAAGAGTGAGGCTTGAAAGGAGAATTGGGAAAGGAGGAAGGTGGTGGACACAGTGGTTGCAGCACAGTCAGAACAATGTCTATATGAGCTTTGTGCCATGAGCAGAAACATCTTTGGTCTTTTCACTCATGTGCCTTTCATGGGAGCTTAATTTAGAAAAAAATAAAGTATTTTCAACACAAAACATCTGGAAATGCTCTGAAAAAGCTCTTATTTTGCCCTGAGAAAATTTTAATCGGCAAAACTGCAAATAAAGTCACTACATCTGAAGATTAAAACTTGTGTTCTTGCCAGGTTTTGCCCTCATCTGTCAAATACTGGGCTAAAGTAAACTTGAAATAGATTTTCATTTATTTTTCATCTTCACTGTAATCCAAAGACTGTCCTGTTAAAAGCCTTTCGTAAATCATTTGGTCAGTTTTTCTCAACAAAACAGTCTTTAAGTAATGCTGTATATCAGCCTTTTTTTGAGGTTTTCATTTTTTCATCCTGACAGCTTCTCTTAAAAATAATGCAGGGTTTGTACTATTATCTTTTTTCAAACTGTGAGGAGAAGGGAAGAAGGCTTCAACTCCCTCCCCACCACAACAATTGGAGTATGCAAATCAAAGCCACATCACTCTGCAGTTTTCTTTCCAGGTTTTCCTTTCAATCTCACCGCCCAGTGTTAGGAGAACTGCTGTGTCAAGAAACCTGGATTGCTGCATCAAAACTGGATGCTGGAAATCACACTGCCTTTTTTTCTAAGGTGCACAGTCTCTGTCTAATTTCTTCCCAAATGCAGCTGGGGTTTAACTCTAATCTGACTGACCTGAAGAATTGTCTCTGCTGTGATCCACCACATCATTTGTGTTTGGCCTTTGCAGGCCAAGAAAAAGTCAATGATGATTTTATAGATGAAACAAGTGAAAAAATGCACTTCACTGCTCCATCAGATAAACTAATTTTTCTTATTAGAAGTGTGAGTAAAAGCTGGTTGGTTTGTGGATATTATTTCTTTATAAGAGTAGCAGCCTTTTCTTTTTCCTAGTTATCCATACTTTCCTGAGATGCTGTGGGGTTTAACAGTTGAGGCTAATCGACTGTTAGAGAGGAATTAGGGGATTTAACAAAGTAAAACTGCAATTCCAATGCAGCCTGTGCTGCTGCAGGGATGGGTGTTTGTTCAGGCTGCACATCCACGTGTTGCTGGCACGAGGGACTGCACAAAGGCAGTCACTGAGCTCTTCTTCACCACCTTAAAGACAATGTCTGTGCAAGAAATGAGTCAAGCAGCATTCAGCAGAGCCATGTCTGCAGCTGCTGTAGATTAATACAGTGCTCTTCTCTTCAGTGAACACTGTCAGTCAGTACAGCTGGTGATCCAGCCTCAATATACCCGTGGATGAACCTGACAAATCCTGTGTAATTACACTGAACTTCAACATTCTTCTTTTTCCTTGTTTCATCTCCATGGCAGGCAGATTACTGTCTGCTGTGTGGAGTCTGCTGTGCTCTGTTCTGTGATCCCAAGGGCAGGTTTGAGAGCTCAGTCCTACCAGAGACAGCCAAATTCCTGAACCCCACTGCAGTCAGGAATCATCCTCATCGTGTTTTTCTGGAATTTGCATGTGGAGCAATGTTGATGTTTTCTTTAAGTGTTATTTGAGGACCTCATGGATGTATGCTTATTTATAGCCAGCTTTTTTGTCCCAAACCATTTCTCTTCCCAGTGCTTTTGTAGGGAATTAAAAGGGGTGTGTCTTGGAGACACAAAACTTGTGAGCATCCCTCTTCTGTGTGAGGGTTTACCAAAGATGATGTCTTGAAGAGGGGAAAACCCTCCCTGATGGAACTGGAAGTGCTGAAAATATTTGGTTGGCTTGTAAGAGCATAAACTGTCTCTGCTCTCTCACAAGAGTGAGGTGGTTTTGGTGCTGCTGGGGATTAGCAGCTAGAGGGAAAAGTGGATGAGGGAAGCCACAAGAAGACACTCGAGGGAAGCAGGGCCTTTCTCCCAAGCTTGATTTCAGCCTCTTGGTACCTGGACAATGTCAGGACCATTGGTCCACGGGGAGTTTCTTTTCTGTTGCCACCAAATGCCTGGCAGGGACTGTGCCATCCTGCTCTGGACTTGGGGATGTTTTTCCCCTGGTCCCTGAAGGAGGGAGTGCCCTACCCTCCCTGCCCTGGCCAGTCCTTTTAAAGAAGTGACATGCAAAATCAGATAACATCTGGATTATAGAGAGAAAAGCTGGAGGACAAAGGGGCCAGGATTGCTTGGCAGATG